TTCTAAAATATGTAAATATATTTCAAGTTAAAAGTATTTAAAATAAAGCCAAATATTTTAAAGCAGAAAGCATTTGTTTATTGCACTATAAACTGTGTAAGTGCATAGAATAGCTAGAAAGGATCTGATTTCCTTTTCCACTCTGGGCGCCTGCTTTGTTTCTTAGTAGCCTTTGAACATTGTGTAGAGAGAATTTCTTTCAATCCTAACTCAAGTTTTCCTGTAACTTACCTTTGTATAAACTCACTGAGAACAAACAGTGTTTCTTAAACAAATCTTGTTATCACATCTCTAATCATTGGCTCACAAAACCTGTGGAATTCCTTCTTCCTTGATTCTAAACAACTGTTTAAATAGACTTCCAGATATAATATAGGATCTGTTAATGCTTTGGCCTCTCAAGTACCCAAAGGACTGATAATTGTTTCTGTTGAAATACTTGCCAAGACAGAGTCAAGGTCATCTGCACACTCCCACTTGGTGCCCACAAACTTCATTAGCAGTGACTTATTTTAGGAATGCACTTGGGTGGATGTTAAATTGGTATGTACATTGAAGTTTAAGATAAGACCTGAGTGCTATACTTTTGAAAGCTCCTTTATTAAAATTTTGTAAATTTCTCTTTTTAATTATAGCTTCATGGATGTTGGTCTAGTATACGGAGTAGTTTTAAGTATAGTTTATAATTCAGAGAGTGGACTTATCACAAAAAAAATGTGATTATGTTAAAGGATACTGTTACTTAAAGATTGAAATGACAGTACCCAGGAATTAGGGATTTTGATATTTTCATTAATGGCCCATTTAGTCAACAAGATAAAACAGGACACTTAGCTACCGGACAGGAATTTTTAAAAAGTCAGAGACACTGTTTTTCACCATTATGATTGCCTACCTCACATGGTGTCCTGTGTAACTGAGAAGCATGAAAATTTTATCTCCACTACAAAAAGAAAAGATACTGATTCTTAAAGTTAGGTGCCATATTCTCAATAAGTAGGAATTGAGAAAGTCACACATCCAAGGATTTATGTATGAATATATGAACAGAGTTAGGGAAGAGAATCACTCTATAAAAAGGTTCCTGTAGCTCCCAAGGTGATGTCAAACTCACTGAACCATCACATGTATTCATATTTCTGTTGATGTTATCAGTCTTTGAATTTAAACAAGAGCGATATGCTTCTGAATTCAAAGACCAATGAAGCAAAACAAATCTTCCAACTGTATTGTTAAAAGTCAACTTTTGGTGCCTTTGTTTACCATCAATCTCATTCATGGTCCTCCCTATATTTAACACATTCAATTACAAAGTTTAGTTTGGTGCCATTAACCATATTCACATTATTATAAACCATTTTCCTCATCAATATCTATGAAATTGTTGAGACTGTGATAGACTATGGGAATTTTTGAAGATGGACTAAACACATTTTGCATTATTATATTGTTACAAGCTTATAGGAGCCAGGGATTAGAATGTGTTAGTTTGACTGTAACTGGCCCCATAATCTCACAATGAGTGGTACTATTAGGTTGTATGACTTTATTGAAGTAGGTGTGGTCTTGGTGGAGGAAATGTGTCACTGCGGAAGCAAATTTGAGACTGCATATAAGATCAAGATACCACCTAGTGTCTGAGCCCACTTCCTGTTGCCTTCTGATCAAGATCTGGTCAGCACCATGGCTGCCTACACTCTGTCATGGTCCTGTGATGGTGGAGAACTGCCTAAGCTTGGGTGTCCTGAAACTGGATCTCTAGACCATGCTGGTTCAGAGATCCACAAGCCTCTGCCTTCTGAGTGTTGGGATAAAAGGTGATCACCACCACACCCAGTACTAATCTTTTCTTTAGTTCTTTTTTGCAAGTTGGAAAAATAGCTGGTTGGGATCTTGTCCTGAGGTCACCACTCCCTTTATTCTATTTCTTAATCTGTTTATTTCCTTGAACACAACACTTAGCTCCATTCAACTTCCTGGTACTCTTTCTCCTCAAAATCTATATTTTGGAATTTACCATGCTCAGCTTTCTCCTTTTCTTTATAAATCTTTGTTAGAGTTATCACTAATAACCACTCTACATAGTTTATACTAGGCTGTTTTGAGATTTCTGCTGCCAGTGGAATTAATTCAAAACTCTTCACAATTGCAATAGTTACTTGTTATTATACTCTGGTCTTAATATCTATAATTTTAAAACACTGAAATTAGTAAATGTTAGAGAATATCTGTTTACACTGTAAAGACATATCTTTACCAAGATCCCTTCTTTCTGGTTGGTTTAATAAAGAGCTTAATTGTCAGTAGTTAGGAAGGAAGAGGTTAAGCAGAACTTTTGGAGACAGATAGATCTCTGGAAAGAAGAAAGGTGGGCTCTTGAGTCAGACACAGAGAGGAGGCAGGAGGTGCCCAATTGAATAGGCAAGCCATGTGGCAGGGCATAGATTTTTTTTTTTTTGATTTTTCGAGACAGGGTTTCTCTGTAGCTTTTGGTTCCTGTCCTGGAACTAGCTCTTGTAGATCAGGCTGGCCTCGAACTCACAGAGATCCGCCTGCCTCTGCCTCCCAAGTGCTGGGAATAAAGGCATGCTCCACCACCGCCCAGCTCAGGGCATAGATTTAAAAAATATTGGTTAAGTTATAAGAGCTAAGTTAAAGGATAAATTTTCTTAATTAATAATAAGTCTCCAAGTCATTATATGCAGGCTGGAGGTCCAAAGACAACCCTATAAGAAAGTTTGTTAAATATGGCATCCAAAATGGGGTCATGTTAAAAAGAAATCTTCCAAACACACAAACACAGAGCCAGACACAGATTCCTAATCCTGCAGCCTCTCAGGTAGTACAGTGATACAGTTCTAGGCTACTGCCTGTGGGCCTGAGCCAGCCAACATCATGTATAGAGTCAAGTGGCTGGTTTATGGCTTAACTCACATGGTCAGAGAAGGCTGCAGGTATGTAGTAAAGAGGTCCAAATTTTTACTTAATCTAACTTAAACATATACAATAAAAATGGATATAGACAGTTATTGGAAAATATAAATAGTTTAGGACTAATAAATTCTTTAGAGAGAGAGAAAAGTAATATAAAAAATAAGCCACACAAAGATGGGATATATACAGGACATCTTTCTGAAGAAAGATTCAAATAGCGCAGGAAATAATCCCAAGGACTGACTAATGCGATTGTAAATTGCAAAAAAAGTTCCACAAAGCAAAATAAACTATCAGCACAGTGAAGAGAGAGCCTACAGCAAACTGTGTATCAGAGGACTAATATATAGAATATATAAAAATGCAGAATTGAAAAGTTACCTAATCAATAAATGTATCAATGAACTGAATAGGGTGTTCTCAAAAAAGGGTTATCAATACAAATACATATTTGAAGAAGGTGTTAAACATGCTTAACCATCAGGAAAATGATTGTTTCAGCACTATTCATAATTGATGAGATATGGAATCAGTTTACTTGTCCATCAAAGTATAAATGAATAGAGTGACAGAGAGAAGAGAAGGGATTCCAGATGTGTGTGTGTGTGTGTGTGTGTGTGTGTGTGTGTGTGTGTGTGTGATTCTGGTCCATCTTTAAAATTAAGGAAACTGCCATTTGAGTTAACACTGGTTGACCTGGAGGGCATTAAGTTAAGTGAAAGAAATCAAGTAAAATGCAAATATTGTTTCTCACTTATATAGAGGTGCTGAAAACAGTCATGTCAATGATATGAGTAGAAAGGTAATTGCCAAGGACTTAAGATAGATGAATTCTGGAGACTGCACAGTTAAGTGACTATACTTAATGATTCTATATCACATACTTGAAATTTGCCATGAGGGTAGGTGTTTCTTATTATAAAAAAAGCAGTTAGCCAGAATGCTAAATTCCTTATTAAGTGTGCTTGTTGTCATTATGATATATTGTGAACATATAAAAAAGATTAATTAGTAAATCTTAAAATAGACTACTTTAATAAAATATGTAATATATAGATTGAAAGAAAACCAACATTTGGAAAAAAGTACTTTTAAGGCTCCATTAATACCACCATTACTTTAACAAGAAAGAGTTAATTTTCAGAGAAATTTTAATACTTATATGAAAATTGAAGCTGGTTCTGTGATGTTACTCATAAAAATTAGAACAGTTTTCCAACTTGAAGTTATGCCACTTTGATACCAATACAACATTTTGATTTCTTAATCTGAGATAACATGAGAAATTAATGTCACAAGCTTTCATTCCAATTCAGAGGATACAATTCCACACTCAACATTTTTTTCCAATGATTTCTCTCCAGAATATCTGCTTCCAAGACAAATCCTGTCCATCAAAAGATATAATTAATCCCAGGTGAAACACCAACAGTTAAAAGTCAATGCCTCTGCATCCTTGTTTGTCCTCTTTAAATATCAGTATAGTTCAAAATGTAAAAAGCTTTTGCTGTTAATATCTCTAGGTCAAGATTCATTATGAAAAGAGTGATCTGTCTTATTTATTTCATCCACACTATCTGCCTTCTGCCCTTTGGGAACAACAGTTTTGCATTGAATATCATTTCTCTATATAAATATATTAAAATTCAAATATCGAGTTTCCTGTAACATTGTTTTAAGACTTTAGAAGAGAAGATTTTGATTAACAAAGACTCAACATTTGATTTCACATCAAGTTATCTAAGTGATTTCTTTTCTAACTGTGGCATATGTTTCACATTAAAGTTAATTATTTCAATGGAAGTTCAGTTTGAAAATAACATTGTGTTTGGATATTTCCAGACATTAGAATCATCTAAGATGAACAAGGTAAGTTTCATAGTGGGATTGATAACTAGAAAAATTCTTACTTTCCTCATATGATGATAATTATTTTTAAATGCTTTTCAAATACATTTATATATTATTTTTTGTTCTCATTTTAAGTCTATGACATTTAAGCATTAAACTTCTCTCACATTGTAATTGAAGTTTAAATTCTTAAAGAATTTGTAGGACACAGGATTTTGAAATCAAAGACCACACTTTTGCCATGGAATACCAAGTGAAAAATATCCAGACAAATTATGAAAAAAAGTTTCCGTACATTCCGTATGCATGGAAGTTTAAATACATAAATTATCAAAGGTTTAGTCCATGAACATAGAAAACCCTTCCTGGGATTACTGCTATAGATAGCATAAGTTTATGGTCTCTTGAAGAGAAATATTGGTAATGACTCTCCATGAGTTTATCAAGTGGCTAAATACTTTTTATAGTATTGTTCTAGTTTGATTGTGTTATGTTTTCCTATATATTCCTTGCAATAATTCTGATAAAAATCTATAAAATGTATCAATATTTTCACTTCATAGGTGAGGAAATAACAGCATAAGATTCCAAGAAATGCACCTAAGATAAAATAATTGCACATGGAAGAACTAGGATTCTAATCTGAAGTTGGGGTTCTAAAATTAATATCCTTATCGCTACTGTTGGATGGTGTTCAGCATTTTGAAGGACAATCTTAAAGCCTTCATTTCATAATTATAGTAAAGTAAAGGTGAGTGTGACCATGAAAAATGCCAAATTCCAAGACTCTGTCACTAAATACAGTATCACAACTTTCTTAATATTTGAGAGTAGAAAAATATCATTGTGTGCATTGGATACTATGTTCCATGCAAATTTACTTTAAAATAGTATTAAAATAGTAGTATTATTTGGGCCATAATAAAAATATTAAATAAAAATAATTAAAGTATACTTATTAAAACAATATAGAATGTGAATCAATAATTTAAAGAAAAAAATAATAAAAATATAAAAATAACATGAAATGTACATTTGACTGTTCTTTATTAATTCATTGATTTTGTACTCAATTGCTAATTTCATTGGTTCTATTTTCTAATTTTAATTTTAAGATGATGTAAAATAACTATTGAGACAATCTCTCAAGAATATAATGAGAATAAAATTGGGAAATAACTACAAATTCAGAATACACTCATTGATCAGTCATTTGAGCATTAGTGTTCTTATTGTGGCAAATAACATTTAATCGTCATGATTCTTGACTCATTTGAAAAATTGACAAAATAATGTCAATTATTAATGAAGAAACATGTGCACAGGTAACTGGGTGTCATGCCTCATAAAAGCTCAATCACATGAAAGTATGTAGTAGTATTGTGAAGTTATTAGATTTCATAAACATGATTTTTAATGTTCGTATTTTTTATTAGACTATAAAATGTCAGATTCATTACATCATTTTTCAGGGAAAAATGTTTTTTTCTGTATCTCCTCCTCTCTTCTCTCACACTCTTCCCCTGCTTTATACCTTCCACCACAGCACTTGCATCCTCTATATTCCCAGGAGTTACACCCTAGAATATCTATGTCACCTACTCTAAATAGGGTCTGAACTCCTCTCTCTGGCTTCCATTCTGGTACTCAGCCTCAGACCTTCTCATCCAGCTGACACACACAATTCTACTGCATTAACACCCAATATTTTTCCTTCTTCCATTTCCTCTTTAGTTTTACACTCATATCCAAACACTTGCTAAATTTTATTATTTCACATGGACATAGAGAAAGTGCTTTAGTTTTTCATTCACAGCCTGTACACACAACATCCACATCTTTATTAAAGCTTAGCTTCCGCTAGCATAAAATCTACTACAAGTTAGATCCCGAGTCATAATAGACTCGCATAATCAGTTGTCTTTTGTCCTGCACACTCATAAAAATTCCTCATATTGATCTCCTAAGAGAGTTGTCACATGAGAAACAACTTGAAGAATTCAGAACCTGTCTTAGAACACAAATAAAAATTTACAGATAAGCAGAAAACAGAGATCTGAGACTAAACACAATAAGGTGGAGATTTTTAAAAGATTAAAAATTGCATTGATATTTTTCAGGTAATATAACCACCTATCACATGAAATAAAATGGAGAACCAAAACAACGTAACAGAGTTTATCCTTCTGGGACTCACAGAGAACCCAAAGATGCAGAAAGTTGTATTTGCTGTGTTTTTTCTTATCTACATCACTTCTATAGCAGGAAATACGCTCATTGTGGTCACCATAATTTCTACATCATTGTTAGAGTCTCCCATGTATTTTTTCCTGGCCTATCTGTCCTTTATTGATGCCTGTTATTCCTCTGTTAGCACCCCTAAACTGATAGTAGATTCTCTCTGTGAAAAGAAGACCATTCTCTTCAATGGATGCATGACTCAAATCTTCGGGGAGCATTTGTTTGGAGGTGCTGAGATCATCCTGCTGACTGTGATGGCGTATGACCGCTATGTGGCCATCTGCAAACCCCTTCATTATGCAACCATTATGAGTCGACGCCTATGTAGCCTGCTAGTAGGAGTGTCGTGGTTGGGAGGTTTCCTTCATGCCACCATACAGATCCTGTTCATTTTCAGATTACCTTTCTGTGGCCCTAATGTCATAGATCACTTTATGTGTGATCTTAATCCTTTGCTCAACCTTGTCTGCACCGATACTCACACTCTTGGACTCTTTGTTGCTGCTAACAGTGGCTTTATTTGTCTGCTAAACTTCCTCCTTCTGTTGGTCTCCTATGTGGCCATCCTACGCTCCCTAAAGAGCCACAGTGCAGAAGGAAGGCGCAAAGCCCTTTCTACCTGTATTTCACACATCACAGTGGTTGTCTTATTCTTTGTGCCTTGCATATTTGTGTACATGAGACCTGTAGCTACCTTATCTATTGATAAAGCAGTTGCTATGTTCTATACTATGATAACTCCCATGCTAAATCCCTTAATCTACACCTTGAGAAATGCTCAGATGAAAGATGCCATTAAGAAATTGGGGATCAAAAAAGTTCTTTCAAGTAATGAATGAACACACCTGGAGCACAGCATGAATTAAATTAAATCATAAAATAAAAAGTTACTATCCATAATTTTAGAAAGCACATTTATTGGATAAGGAGAAAATTAGTTATGCATTTTATTTACAAATTCTGCAGCAAAAAGAGTAGAGAAGGGTATAACAAAAGACAACATCCACCCCTCACATATTTTGGAAATTCTACAAAATTGAGACTTTTTTAATAACTCAGCCTTGTATGAGAAATCATATGGTTTCCGTGCAGTAAAAAGTGAATAAGTAATAAGAATCAGTGGTATAACATAATCTCACTGTCCATCCAAAGATGGGTACTGATATTCTTCCCTTTTCAGGGACCGACAGACATGAAAGTACCAAAATCATAAGAACTGATGAAACAGTGACCAGAATAAGACTGATTTTTCAGGCCATTCTCCATTTATACTTCGTGAAGAGATGACAACAGAAAGGTTAGATAAACGGATCCTCAGCATATTAATGATTGTTTTGCCTCAGTAATCTCTCTATTCTTAGCAAGATTTCATGTTTTTAAGAATAATACTCTCTTTTTTAATTTCATGTTTTTAAGAATTATACTCTCTTTTTTAACCACTTTATATTTAGGTAATATTTTCTTATATAAAACTGTTTTGTAAAATGTGCTCATACTTGGGAATGGTTTAAGGTAGGAAGCCGTTGGTGGTTAATGGACACATGGCTGAAGCTGGACTGGAGGTATAACTCCTTACATTCTATAACATCATGGGGGTGATGCAAGTTTTATGACAGGTAATTGAATTTTCCAACATATTCATTGAAGAGTAAATAAATGTTCCAATACAAAGATATATATCTTAGATGATATATATATACTGATCTGATATATTACATATAATTTATGTAATAAAGTATCATGAAATGCTCCATAAATATGTGCAGTTATTATGTGCTAATAATAATTATTATGTACTTTAGAAATAAAGTACATTTAAAATATATATGTCTCCTGTGCCTGTGGTGGTTTAAATGAGAAATGTCTCCCATTGGCTCAGATACTTGAACACCTGGTCCTCATTTGGTTGTGCTGTTTGGGGAAGGGATGCAGCCTTGCTGGAGGAAGTGCATTATTGGGGCTGGATTGAGAATTTATACCTTTGCCCTACTTCCAATTTATTCTTCCTGCTTCCACCTTACAGTCGAAGATGTAAGTTCTCAGTTTCCTGCTCCTGCAGCCATATCTGCCACTTGTGTCTATACCTACCAATCATAATGGACTTATATCCTTAGTAATCTTAAAATAAATTAAACTATTTCTTCCATAAATTGCCCTTGGTCATAGAATTTTATCACAGCAATAGAAAAATAATGGATGTATACAGATCCAAACACACAAACAAAGAAACACACACACAAATTCAGAATAAATACATTCTAGCTTTTACATCTTTTATGCACAAATCAACAATTACTTTGAGGCCAAATCAGAAACAGTGACATTTATTACTGTTTTAATGGTAAATAAGGAAAATTCCAGATCTTCCCTTGATTTAACTTAGTGCCCATTAGGACATTCTAAGAATAAATGTATAATACAGTAATTTAAATGATAAGAAAGTAGAAGTGCATTATGCATTAACACAGAATTGGACAACCAAGAAAGAACCCCTACATTGAGAAGCAGAGGTATGAGCCAAAACATTATAAATGGTGTCAGGGGTTGGATGATGGTTCACTTACAAAAGTACTTGCTGTGCAAATATGAGGACTGGATTCCAGCTCCCCAGAATCCTACCAGAACCGAAGGAGATCTAAGAGCCTGAGAAATATTCTTCCCCAAGGAAAATCACCCCCATTGATTGTCCATTACCAAATGATCATCCTTGAAAAAAAATCTATACCAGTAATACTATACAAACTTAGCAGGTTGTTTTTATGTATTTAGGAATATACATGTATGCACATTGATGTATGTAACAGTAAACAGTGAAAAATAGAGAAAATTAATTCAAAAGAGAACAAGAAGGTATATTTGGGAGAGCTTAGAGAAATGAAAGGAAAGAGGGAAATGTTGTAATTATATTTTAATCTCAAAAATAAAAGAATATTTTAAAATTCTGTGCTTGGGTTTCAAGATTCTAAACCTCAGCAGAGACCAGGAAATCTCAGCACTCACTGGCCACCCAGTCAGGCCAAACAGTGAGCTCAGGGCTCAGTGAGAGATTCTGCCTGAAAAGAAAAGAATAATGATGGTGGACACTCAGTATTCACCCCTAGTATCCTTACACACATGCACATATATACACATGTACCCATATACATACAGAAAATGAACACACATACATAAAGATATCAGTAGAATGCATACAAATGAGGCTGATCTGAAAGTATTTCAAAAAGAAGGAAAATATTCAAAAGGTTTTCTAGATAGATTGTTTCAGAGCAAATTTCTTAATGCTCTGGCTCTTCCAATCTTTCCACCCCATCTTTTGTAATGTTACTTGAGCCATAGATGCAGGGACTATGATAAAGATGTACCCACTGAAGCTGGGTTCCCCATGATCTACTCTAACCACACCTTGAAAATAGATCAAAGGAAACAAGAATAGAAGCATGAGCTTATTGTAATGATTTAAGTGTAAATGCTGTGAGGATACAGAGTGTGATGGATTCTGCTTCGTCCATCTTAAATCTGTTCTACTACGCTAGCACACACATACTCCAAGTACCACAAGTCTAGATCACTAACAGTTCATAGCCCACGTGTCTCTAGACAATGCATGAAAGAACATGGGGGAAAATATAACGATTTCAGAGCCTCCAAATGTCCAATATAGAGGTCAAAACAGTTAATTCTTTGTCTTGAAGGGAAATCAGCTCTGTAACACAACTCCAAAGATCTCAAAACTCCAGGATGAAGCCAAATGCAGTTGAGACCCCATTCTTTCCCACAGCTGTAGTCAGTTTCCCTCAAGTCCTTCTTCTTTTACCTCACTTTCATCAAAATGCCGATCTCAGGACCTCCACCTGTGCACCACCACCTAAACGAATAGATTGAGATAATTCAAGAAATATATACAATATTTATATACTGTATTAAATAAAACGAAAAAAAGCATATTCAACTAGTGGTGGATGTTGACATGTAGAAGAATTTAAATTAATCCATATCTATCACCATGCACAAAACTTAAGTTCATATGTGTAAAAGAATTTAACACAAATCCAACCAAACTGAAGCTCATAGAAGAGAAAGAGGGAAGTACCCTTGAACGCATTGACATAGGGGACCTCTTCCTAAATATAATGCCAGTAGCACAGACACTGAGAGAAACAACTAATAAATGGTATCTTCTGAAACTGAGAAGCTTCCATAAAGCAAAGGTCATGGTCAACAAAACTAAACAACTACCAATAGGACTGGAGATCTTCATCATTCACACATCTGACAGAGGGCTGGTTTCTATAATATCCAGAGAATTCAAGAAACTAGACATCATACTACCAAATAACCCAATTAAAAATGGGGTACAAATCTAAATAGATAATTCTCAATAGAAGATTTCCAAAGGCTGAAAGACACTTAAGAAAATGCTAAACATCCTTAGCCAGCAGAGAAATACAAATCAAAACAACTCTGAGATTTAACTTTACACCAACTGGAATGGCTAAGGTCAAAAACACTGATTAGAGTTTATGCCGGAAAGGAATATAGAGTAAGGGGAATATACTTTCATTGCTGATGTGAGTGCAAACTTGTACAGCCACTACTGAAATCAGTACGACAATTTCTTAGAAATTGGGAATCAATCTACCTCTATACCCGGCAATATCACTTTGGGGCATAACCCAAAGGAGGTACACTCAAACCACAAGGACATTTGTTCAACTATGTTCATAGCAGCATTAGTCACAGTAGCCAGAACCTGGAAACAACCTTGATGCCCCTCAACTGAAGAATGGATAAAGAAAATGTGGTACATTTACACAATGGAGTACTAGTCACCAGGAAAAAAAAATGACATCTTGAAATTTTCAGGAAAATGGACAGAACTAGAAAAACTCTTCCTGAGTGAGATATCCCAGAACCAGAAAGACAAATATAACATGTACTTACTCATAAGCAGAAATCAGATATAAAGAAAAAGAATAACCAGCCTACAGTACACAACCCTTGAGAACCCTCATTCAGAAACACATGGAAGTAGATGCAGAGATCCACAACTAACTACTGGGCTGCCCTCCTGGATACAATCAAAGAGAGGGAGAAATGATATTATGAACAAAGTGGTCAAGACCATGATGGGGAAATCACATAAGCTGCTGACCTGAGCTAGTAGGAGCTCACTGACTCCAAACTGACCACTGGGTAACCTGCATAGGACCAAACTAGGCCCCCTGAATGCAGGCACAAATGGTGTGACTTTATCAATATGTGGAACTATTGGTAGTGGGACCAGGATCTAACCCTAATACATGAAGTGACTTTGTGGAGCACATTTTCAGTGGGTAGATACCTTGCTCAGCTTAGGCGTGGGTGGGGGACTTGGTCAGGTAATGGTGACACACACCTTTGGTCCCAGGATCTGTGAGTTTGAGGCCAGCCTAGTCTAGAAGAACTTGTTCCAGGACAACAAGGAAACCCTATCTCTAGAAGGAAAAAAAAAAACCTTTTGATTTTTAAATTTTAATTTCAACAAATATGTAAAAACTACACAAATCTGAGGTACCATGTTATGTACTGACACATGTATGCCTTGTGTCATGTTTAAACCAGCCTACCTCCTCAAATATTTAACATTGCTTTAGAAAAAAACTTTTCTATGCAGGCAATGGTGGGGCATACCTTTAATCCCAGCACTCCGGAGGCAGAGGAAGGTGAGCATTATTAATAAAAACCCAGAGACAGAAATTGGGTTTCAGTTTGAAAACCAGAAAAGCAAAGTAGCCAAACCACTAGAGAAATCTTACCTCTACCAAGGCTGGGCAACTATAGGCTAATATGACTAAGCCTCTCTCTCCTCCTATTTCATATTCCTTTTAGTGCTGAGATTAAAGGTATGTGACTCCCTAGTACTGGGATTAAAAGTGTGAGCCACCACCACCTGGATTTGTTTCTGTGCTGATCTTGTGTAGCCCAAGATGGCCTTGAGCTCATAGAGATCCATCTACTTCTGTCTCCCAAATCCTGGGATTAAAGGTGTGTGTGTCACCATTACACGACCTCTAGTGGCTTTAGCTTTGCCTCTGGTCTTCAGGCAAGATTTGTTTATTAAAAGACAAGTAATATACCACTATAATTGGTGTTTCTTATAATAAATGAATTTCATGCAGCGTGTTATAATGAATAAATGTGCTTTATTTTTCAGGGTCTTCTGTTCATCAATTTTTTTCAGAAATCGACAGAAGGTGATGGATACAGGCATGCATAGACAAAGAGATGAACAATCTCTTTGTTACATAAGTATGTTTTCAGAGCTGACTGGTAATACATAGCCAATTGGTGTGTGCTCTTTCCTAGAGAAGTCTGTTTTTTCCACTCAGCATTCTTTTATTGCCCATAGTTCTTTGGACAGTTTTGAGGTTTTGTGGTCTTTTCCCCATCCACATTGGTGCATTTATTGATGTCATCCTTGCTCAGCTTATATTTGGGTGATCATGCTGGTGGTACAGCATTTTAAATCCAAAGGAGACTCAATCTCACAGGTAACTAGCTCTTGATCCTAGCTCTTACAGACTTTCCCCCTCTCTTCTACAATGTTTCCTGAGCCTCAGAGAGGGAGTGTTTTATAGATGTATCCTTGAACTGGTCTCTGCTATACTTGTGTCATGGAACCCCAAACAAGGCCACCACAGAGTCGGTATGGATGCAAACACACGAGGGTTGATTGTTCTGCCAGCATCAGTCCTCTGCAGCTTAGGCTATCAACGCAAGATAAATTTCCTGCTTACCAGTCTCAGTGATGTGTATGTGCATGCACATTCTCTCTCTCTCTCTCTCTCTCTCTCTCTCTCTCTCTCTCTCTCTCTCTCTCTCTCTCTCTCTCTCTCACACTCACACACACAGGCTGAAGCAGGAGAATCAAGAGTTGGGGACAACNCTCTCTCTCTCTCTCTCACACACACACACACACACACACATAATCATAATCATCATCATCCCAATGGAAGGTTTGAAGCTTGTTAACTTATCAAAGGAATTTATTTTGTACTAGCAACTATGCAGGCCTTAGAAAACACAATGAATCTCATTATTCAATGAACAACAACTATGCCTTTCCCAACTATTGGAATCCTAGAGTTCATGGAGAAGTCTAGTCTAAAAATTATATATCTTTCTTAGATATTTGTCATAAAATATCAGGGAATCTTTACTCCTCTATCATAAACACCTTAAAATTATTCATTGCGGGAAAATTTCATCTGTTCAAGTCAAGGATACTTTGTGGTCTATCTCTTAATTAGATTTCAACTGATAAAATATAAAAAGATAGAAGATTTATAGGTATAAAATAAGCAGTATATCTTTTTCTACATAACCAATGTTTAATAGAAAACAAAATTCATAAAGCAAAGAATTAATGTGGATACCAGAATCTCAAGTAAAGGGAGATCATTACAGATGTTAGTTTTATTATCATTAATAATCAGCAGTCTCAATATTACATAAAGTTATTACTATCAATCCAATATTCTAGGCCCATACTTTTTTGATTCTAGAGATGTTTCAGATTTCCAACCACTTTATAGATATTTGCTAATTTAGAAGCAATTAGTTATGATGACAGACATATGAGACAGGAGAACAGAAATATGAGCAATAACTCATGCTTAAATTTCTACTGAAATAGCTATATCCAAATAATATCAAATTACACTCGACATTCTCATCTTGAGAGCAAAAATTTTCAGTCAGGAGTCCATGTATTGCCTCTGTATGTAAAGTTCAATGACATGTTTAATTGTTATCTGTACTCACTTTTTTTCTCCATAGCTTCTTTATTGCATTTTTTACCTCAGCATTCCTGAGGGTATAGATTAAAGGATTCAGCATAGGAGCCACCATAGTGTAAAAGACAGCGACGGCCTTATCAAGTGGCAGAGTGGTCACTGGTCGTAAATATACAAATATGCATGGGATAAAGAATAAAACCACTACTGTGATGTGAGACACACAGGTAGAGAGGGCTTTGCGCCTGCCCTCCAAGCTATAGTTCCTTAAGGAGCGCAGGATGACCACATACGATCCCATCAAGAGGAGGAAGTTAAATAGGCAGATGAACCCACTGTTGGCAGCAACGAAGAGACCAAGGATATGTGTGTCCATGCAGACAAGTTCCAACAATGGGTACAAGTCACACATAAAATGGTCTATGATGTTGGGGCCACAGAAGGGCAGCCAGACTGTAAATAGTATCTGAATAGTTGCATGGAGAAACCCTCCGGTCCAGGCCACTCCCACCAGGAGAAAGCATAGCTTGTAGTTCATGATGGTCATATAGTGCAGAGGTTTGCAGATGGCCACATAGCGGTCATAGGCCATCACTGTCAAGAGAATGATCTCAGTTGCACCAAAAATGTGCTCTGCATAGACTTGTGCCATGCATCCATTAAAGGAGATGACTTTGTTCTCTTGAAAGGAGTCCACAATCAACTTTGGAGCGGAAGAGGAAGTGTAAATCATATCTATCAAGGAAAGGTGGCTCAGGAAGAAGTACATGGGGGAACTCAGAGCCCGGCTGTGGATGATGGTAACCACAATGAGCAGGTTGCCTGAAATTGTTACCGTGTACAGAACCAAAAATGTCACGAACACTACTTTCTGTACTTGGGGGTTTTGTGTAAGACCGATCAAGATGAATTCAGTCACGTTCCTTTTATTCTCCATCTGTGTGGTATGGTTAATTTTTTCAAAGCCCCAAAAGAAATATTTTATCTTCAGGAAAAAAAAGAAAGGTGAAAATTGTAATTATAGTTACAAACTCTAATCTTCAGAATTCTACCATGTCATAAATTAGAACTAGTCTGCTCAAAATTCTATAAAAACAGGTCAAACATTTTCTAAGTTGACTTTCCTAGTCTTTATTTTTTTCAGTTCAAAAGAATTCTTAAAATACAAAGAACACACTGAAGGAAGGAACTCATTTTCTGCAGTCAGGGGAACAATGGCAAACTTCACTTTTACATAAGAATGATGGAACAGAGCAATCATTAGCAGCAAAATTTTGGAGATTAACAATACACATATATATGTCTTAAATATATATCTAAATATACAACCATAAAATAGTACTTAAACACCAGTTCTAGTTATGAAAATTTAACAGAAGTAAAATGTTAGTATAATAACTATGTAATTTGTATTTGAAAATCTATTCAAATACTAATATGTGTAATTCAGGAATACAATTAAATTTTGAAGTTTTCATATAAAATTTTATATAGACTATGATTCATTGATGTTAAAACGCAAGTATATTTGTTTCCTTTTCTTCACATCCTCGCAGAAATTGAGGAATTTTTAATTAAAATAAGTCAAATATTAATGCCATATATATTCTCTCACATAACTGGATTCTAACACCAGCATTAATACAAAGGTACAAGTAGAAATGGAAAACAAGGTGTTCAAGAACAGGCACCAAACAATTACGTACCCAAAGACAATGCCTGCATATGCTCCACAGCACAGTTGGACAACTGCAGTTGATAATAATGTATTATATGTTTTATGAAGAGCAGAGAGGAGTTCAATGTCTCCAAATACAGAGCTGATAGTAAGAAGGGAATATTAATGACCCTCACTTGATCAGGACATACTGTGTATATGTGTTGATAAACACATTGTGACCCATTAATAGTGCAATTATTACATGTTAATCAAAAATAAGGTAGAAGCTGAAGGCACTGCTCAGTGGTTAAGAGTGCATGCTTCTCCTGCAGAGGACCTCAGTTCACTTCCTAGTATCCATAACAGGTGGTTCACAATAAAATACAACTTAAGTTCCAGATAAATCTGAATTCTTCTTATTACAAAACCTTCAGTCACATGTATGCATACCCATAAATAGACACACACACACACAAAACTTTCCAAAAATATAGGAGCATAATAATATTTCAGAGCAATTCAAAACATATTGAAAAAATAATTACTTAAAATATTGAGAACATTTGCTTCAAAATGTAAGATTATGGATGACTTGTTATATTTTTCTTTAGTTTTTTTATCGTTTTCCAAATTACCATAGATTGCATTACTAATTTTATGATCAGAAAATAACTTTGATTTCTATATTTGGTACTATAATTGAAAAAATGAATATTCAAAGCTGAGTAAAATATGACACAACAAATATAAAGGGTTATAAATTGGCACATCAGGGAAAGCCAGCTAATGGTGTCTGAATGTAACTAAAAGATAATGGGGTGTTCTCATAAAACTGTGCTTGTCAATGCACCAAATGAGCATAAGACAAAGGGATGCATGGGCACTAGTGAATGGGCGCTCAGGACAGAGCATGAGATTGCCCTGACCACCCCACACAACATACTGTCTTTTGTTCTACAGTCGAATATAGGTTTTCATGTGAACTAACCCCATGCACCAACAATTTGCTTGCACAGTAAATAAGTCAAGCCTGAATTCACTTTATAACAAAATCTGTTTCATTTACTTGATGAAGAATGCAGATATCACTCAAACCTTACAATATGATTTAAAACTGCTATGCCATTCATTATCAGTTTTTTTTCCTGAGCTTCAGATTTCTTTCCTTTTCTCTTTTTTTTTAAAATATCTTCATGTGTTCTGACACACAAGAACTGTGGAGGGTAAGATGGATTGTCCCCATCACATGTGGTCATGATCATCACATGTGGCCATGATACATAGTGACGTCTCCTGGAAAGAGATGTCTTTCCAAGAGACCTCAAGAATATTTTGTTGAGACATAGACCTTACATCTCTAAGCCCAGGATCCCAACCTCCCTTCTAAATAGCCCAAAGTATTAGAGAATCCTCCCAGGAACAAGAACCCCTGGGAATAAAAAAAGAGTGCTTTTCTAATTGCCAGGTCTTCTCTAGAGGAGTTAATCTTTGGGATAACAAAGAATGGTCTAAGTTTTTTTATACATTTGAGAATGTAAATGCCAAAATCATATTTCATGATCAAAACCACACACAAAACATGACTCATTCAGCTATTCATTCCATTTCCTGCAGATTTTCAAGTAATCTGTATATATTTTGATCCTTTTAAAATATTCAGATTCTTCCTTTTCCCTCACAGCATGCAGACACAAAGGTAAACTGAACAATTTGAGTATATGTCAAAACTGATGTCTTTGGTGTTCAATTCATCTTAAAGTAATAAATGAATTTTGTTCCCTGCCCTGGCTCAAAAACTAATAGAAACCTCATCTCACACTGAGAAAATCTGGTCACTACTTTAATTCCTGTGCTCAGATATTTGGGCATAAACCCTTTGTTGTGCTCTGTTTTTCCACATTTGTGGCAGCATGCTGGGGCTTGCATGTCCTGCACAAGCTTCCTGTGGGACAATCTTTCACTGAGTAACTGTCATGCACTTGGCACTATACTAAGTGATTTGTGTGTAGTGTTTCACCTATTCTTCACAATAATGTCAGAAGGTTTAGACACTTATAAGTGTGAATTTTAAAGAAAAGAAGACTAGACTGTGGCTGGAAGATAAAGAACTTACCTAAAGTCCCAGTGGTAAAATGTAAAGGGTCGAGTATCCAAATTCACGATGTCGGTCTCTATATTTGTAGCATTTACTCAGTGCCTGTGTCTCCAAGGCAGATCAGTTTCCTTTGAAGGTCAACATGGCCAGAGTTAAGAGAAGTGAGCTAGTGCCTTAAATCCACCACCTTTGTACGTAAGAAATCCTCCTCAGTCCTCTGCTAAGCTACAGAAGAAAGCCAGATGGTAATGAGTTTAGATTCCCAGTCCACAAACCTCCAGAACTTCCCTACATTAGAAATCCCTGGGTATCTTGTATTTTGTCAACTTATATATAAAGTTGAGGAATGAAGGGGCAGTCAGGTGAATTTCAGACAACCAAAGCGTATCAGCCAATGACAGAAAACAAGAACAGCCTAGGTCTGCTAAACTCTATAACACTGGTATTCTCTGCCTCTGCATCTCACCTTTCTTATATAAATATATAAAGAGGAACAATAGCCAAAAGGAGAGAAATCAGCTACCATTTCATATTTATCAATACCTTTCTTGAATCTGAGCTTAAGGTGACAGATATTTAATCATGCAGCTCGGAGCTGATCTACTATTGCAATCGCAAGCTCTCACTGCTCAATACCCAAGAACATTTGATGAGGTCAAAATTAAGTGTCCCTGAGTCTGAACTTTTAATTCAGACTTCCAATCAGAGCAGAGAGTATCCTTTCCCACTACAGATTCTGAATCTTTAGTATATTCATCTTTGAACCTCTGCTTCAGAATTGAAAGAATTCTTTGGAAAAGCAGTTACTGTCCCTCGTGTTTTGACCTGTTTCAGCTGTAGTGAAGGTCATGTCTATCATAGCTTTAACTCCAACAAGACTTATTTGATTTTCAGCTGCATTTTGGGTTTCTAGCTATTGGTACAAGTTGATATTTTTCCTCTCTTGATTCCCTGAGAATAGTCAAAACAATTTTTTTTTCTGAAAACGTGTGATTGCATTAGTCAAGAAGCTGCCCAGATCAGCATGCTCTATGCCCTACACAGCAGTAAACTCTCAGTAACTCACCCAACCTTTTCAGCCCCTTTATATTCTTCCTGTGCTCAAACCAAAGAAATGAGTTCTTGCAGTTTCATGAATTGTAAGCCTTCTAATACTTTTAATATATGTAACCATATATACAGTTTAAATAAACAAATATTTTAGCAACATCTTAAACATCTGAAAATGTTTAAAAGACATTGTTTTGATGATTTTTATGGAAAACTTCTTGGGGGTAGAAATACGATCAGTTAGATTAAGAATCAGAATTCTGCGGAACTTACTTTGGCTACTGCCACAGTTGAGGAGAATGTCCAATGTCTTCAGAAACACAGAGTAATCATTACATACAGATATTTAGACAATATTTTGTGTAATGTATGCATCCCAAATCCGCAATACCTAAACAATATTTTAGGAGGCAGAGACTGCCAAATGACACAGACTTCAAATGCATTTAACAAGCACTTTCAAATCTTGGTTAGCTTTGTAATGCCCATCAAAAGAAAAAAAGAAAATGTTCTGTTGAATTAGGCACTGATGGTTCTCCGCACTAAAGGGAATCTTCTAATCTTTCTTACCTAGATCACGTTACAAAGAAAAACACAAATGTCTACCTTTCAATTCTTCCAGTGGAAGAAAAAGAATGAAACTATGTGTGAAGGCTACTGGTTGTTTTATTAATGGATAAATCTGTCTCGCCTTTACCCTCCCAGGAATTAATTACTTCTTCTCTATTTTGAAGAGTTTGCCTTAGGCACAGATATTCAGTAGCACTTATCTCTAAACAATTCACCTAATAAGTTCTTTTTCTGCAGCGGAAACTAATTTATTAACAGTCCATATCTCTGGTCTAGAATATTGTGATGAAATATGTATTGCATAAACCCTTGAGAACCAGGACTGTGACATGAAGGACTCTCACTATTGTATGGATAACAGCCTGGAGTATTGCTCAGTGTTTGTCCCTGAGGACACTTTCTTTAAGCCTGCAACCATGTACGAGATGGAGACAATCACTCACCCAACTGTGTGAGGGTGCATCAGTGCTCTTTCTCTCCATAGAAACGAGTTTCGGAAACAGATGTAATTTTAAGCAGTGTACTATCTAGATCTAAAATCCTCCTATCAAGTTCCCCTGTGCAGAAACCAAAACTTAATTACTGCAGTCACTAAGCTCTGTGTCCTAATTTGTAAGTGTCATGTCCTTTTTCTACTGATAGGATGCACTCTATTGGATAATTTTTATTCAATAATTTTCATTGCTGGGTTACAACTCACTAGGAGATAATCTAAAATAATTTTATAACTACTAAATATACTATACTAGCTTTTTATTGAATTTTTGCACCTATTTTATGTATTATTATAAATTATTATTTAGCAGCTTTGTTTGATTTTGGTATTAAAATACTATGCCAGCATCACAGAATAAGTTAGGAAGTATTGTCCCCTTATATTTTTGGAAAAGTTAATGAGGGTTAGTGGGGTTTTATTATTGTTGTTGTTTTCCATAGCTCCTCCATTATATTCAAGCTAAATTATATTACTCTTCTATGTTATCACTTTCTTTATAAAAAAATAAACTCCTTTTTGGGGAACAGTGACCTTTTTCTATTGAATTCTTGAACTATTTTAGAATAATATTATAATTTTTGTGTATCTGCTTCTGAGGTCCTCTTTAGCAATTTCAAAGGAAGACAAAAGTTTTGAGACTTTATTGTCTAGTATCCCAAGTCTCTAAATAATGACAAGCTTATCTCAGGGTTTATGAGTTCAGAACTGTGGTTATATGAGTAGGTTTGAAGAAATATCTTTATCCTCAGGATCTTTAGTCTAGTTTTCTTGAGATTTAGCTTCAGTGCTCTTCCAGTTCTTGGAAAAGCTCTACATTATTATGTGTTCCCATTTCTACTATGTGTTAAGAATACTGTGTTAGTGGTACATCCTGTCTCCTCTCTTTATTGATATACCACCTCCTGGACCAATGGGTGTTCCTAGGTGACAAAGGATGCAATGGCAACACCTTTCACCTTAGGGTACACAGAAATGTTTGGAATGATTTCATTTGGCTCTGTGTTCTTGCTGCATTTATGCACAATGTTCATTTATGTTCATTGTTTTACCTGACCAAAAATTAGATAGGCTAAATCATTTAACATTCATAGCAAGGAGGTTGGAAGGACTTAACCCTCTTTTGGAGCTCACATGTCTTACTGTCTAGGTATTATGTGTAAATGGACAAACGGATTCAAACTCTTGAAAGAGAATTCCATCAAAAACTATATTAATAGTGACCACATACTTTCACAGATTATTTTACAATTTTATGAAATTCATTTACTTTTTGATGTTTTTGAGGATATCTCTCACTCAGCCACACAGAATTATATTGCCTTTCTCCCCGTTAGGTGCTGAGGTCGAGGTCATGGGTATATCTACCACTCAACCTCAGAAAATCTTTTCTTGCATCACCTGCTATATTAAATGTTATGTGCTTTAGTGGAGACGAGTGGATTCAGCATTAATTCTTTTTTTGTTCTAATGTTATATTTTTATTGATTTTTTGGGTGGATATTTGGCATCATGCACCCCAATCCCACTCATTTCCCAATCCTTCCATGTTCTTTGAGGCACTGTAACATCCCCAAAAGAAAACTAAAATTTAAAATAAAAATTAACAACAACAAAAAAGATCTCCTTGACTTCTCTGAGCAACAAACTTACCTCATCTATGCTGATATTTGGGCTACCTTCCCTTATACAGGTCATGTTCATGCAGTCAGATTCTATGAGTATATATGTGCGATTATCCTAGCATGCCCTAAGAACTTTTTTACAATGAACTTCCACTAACTATAGTTCTTGCAATATTATCTTCAGCTGTGATCTCCAAACCTTGTAGTCATATGTATGATATACTTTTCTAAATTTGAACTAAGCATTCCAAGGGTTTGTATTCTCTTCATGGTGGCCAGCTGTGGATCTGCATATTAACTTCCAGATATAGCTTTTTGATGAGAGCTGATAAATGCCCATATTAGTGAAAAAAAAAAAAGAACATTGGGATTATGTAAAATCTACACATTCTTTGGTAGGATGGTCATTTTCACAGTAATAATCTTGAAAATTCAATGAGCATGGGGGGGTCTTTCCATTTTCTGCTATCTTCAGTTTCTTGCTTGAGTGTCTCAGCAGACATGACACAACTCTTTCACTTCGTTTTCTATATTAATCTCAAAGTTTATTGACATTATTGTGGATGAACATATTTCACTGATTTCTTTATTGGGATATTTGTCTTTGGAGAACAGGAATGCTGCAGCATTTGTAAGAATTGTGAAGGAGAGGGACCTTGGCAGGTGATAGCCAGATGCTTCAGGGCAGGTGAGAGAGAAATACACCATGCAGGCCACTGCTTGCATAAGGAGTTTCATTGAGATAAAGGGAATGGGGGAGGGAAGAAAGAAAGGGGGAGAAAAAAGAGACAGAGACAGAGATAGAGAGAGACACACAGAGAAACAGAGACCTGCTTGCCTCTTCAGAAGAACAGCAGGAAAGAGAGTGGGGATGGTTAAATTCCTGGATGGTAATATTGTCTGCAATTGTCTTGGTGTTGGTTTACAAATTTCAAATTTATTTATTTATTAATCAATCTAATATTTAGTTTTCAAATTAACTTACCTCAATAGAAAATGAATTGCAATGCTAATGCAACCTGAGTTATACTTGAGTGTACTGTAATATGGATATGATTTGTGCTGCTGTTGATGTATTGTTTCTACAAAATTAACATAAATGAATTGCTTTGCTCAAAAAAATTAACTTACCTCTTACAATTTTCAAAAAAAAATTGTCATAGGTGCAATAATCTTGACTGACCAGCAGGTGGAGCCAGTGTTCAGGTGGCTGGTTAAGGTGGTTGTTGAGAGTTAAGGTGTAATGAGGATATTGGCCAGAGGGAGTCGCTGGTGTACCACTAAAGTACGTCTTAGGTCAAGACTGAATTAAAATGTGAGAACTTGCAGAGCTGCTAACAAATTTGGTTAGACTGGACAAAAGCAGCACTCTCTCACACGGAGAGGATTGCATTGGGTAGAAGCTCAAGGAACCCAGAAACTGCAGGCACCTCTAAGCTGTGAGGGGGATCCTATCACTCCGGGGGAGGGGGGGAAGGGAAAGCAAGCCAGTGTTCCATATTCTGGCTAACTAGCACAGCAGGGACAGAGCTCCCTGGGTCAGAGCTCAGCCTGGTAAGAGCAGACCTGGTGGCAGCTGAACATCAAAAGCAGATCATAGGATAGGTGGTGGCAGTGGGCCACACGTGTCAGGGGAGACAATTGCTAGCTACTCCGGGTAGTTGGATGGTTGGTTGCAGTGATGGTAGCTCAGCCATGTGGTGGGAACCTGAGACTCTCACGAACAACTTCTCCTTTTGGCAAGGCCCTGGAGAATCTGACCCAAGTTTTTGTTAAGACCGATGGATAGTTCAATGCACAGTTCTCGGCATGGCCCCCCGGGAGCATATGTGCTACCTGTTCTCCTTGCCTTCTTTATCCAAATAATATTGCTGGCTGACTCCAATTTCAGTTTCTTTAAAGCTATGGATGAAATGGCCATTGCCTAGGGCATTTCTCCATGATGACTCTTTTGTGGGTGATCCAGAGAACATACTATTTTTTTAATTTTATATTTTATTTATTTTTTTTAAAAGAAAATAAACTTTTTTAAATTTACATACCAATCTCAGTTCACACTTCTTCCCCTCCTCCAATCCCCACTGCCTTTCCCCCAATCCTACTCCCTTTGGGGAAGGTCCAAGATTCTCCTTGCTATATGAAGACCGAGCAAGGTATCCATACAAAGAGAATGGGTTCCCAAACAGTCAGTACAAGCAGTAGGGATAAATCCTGGTGCCACTGCCAGTGGCCTCGCAGTCTTTCCCAGCCATACAAAGGTCACCCGCATTCAGAGGATCTAGTTTGGTCCTATGCTGGTTTCTTCTCTGTCAGGATGGAGTTGGTGAGTTCCCATTATCTCCGGTTCATTGTTTCAGTGGGTGTCCCCATCAAAGTCTTGACCTCTTTGCTCATATTCTCACTCTTTTCACTCTTCAATTGAACTTTGGGAGCTCAGCCCAGTGCTCAGCTGAAAGTCTCTGCCTCTGTTTCCATCAGTTGCTGGATGAAGGTTCTACGGTGACATTTAAGCTATTCATCAAACTGATTCATCATCAGGCACCCTCTCAGAGGAGATATTTAAAAAAAATAAATAGGGCATCTAATCCATCCCCTAAAGCCTTTGATATTGCAAGTGTGACCATGAATTCAGGATCTTAAGAACAAGATGTTGCCTTTCCAATACACTTTGTGATTAGCCTTAAAAGAGTCATAGTACTTCATGGCATTGCAAATCTGCATGACTACTGTGGAGAGACTGATGTTAGCCATAAGAGTCCAGGAGAAATAGTAATAAATATACATCAGGGATTAATGGTAATAGTATAGGAACGTGGAATGAATCAGAATCATAGAAACCATAATAACCTAATTTCCAAAGGCTGTGCCAAAACTGTAGGAAATTGAGAGGAGAAGGACATGAGAACAAGAGGTAAGCAGTGCCACCTATTAAGAGTAAACTTTTTAGTTACGTAGTTTGCAGGATGACAGAAAAAAAAACCTGGTATATCCACTATTGGAGTTGGAGTAGTAAATAATGAAAAATGAATTGATCCAACCTTGACTGATAAATTGATTATGAGAATTTATATTTGTCCAAAGGTAAACATTAACCACCTTATGGCAAAACTCTCTTTCATTTTGCATGATGCTATAACTGAAAATGCCAACTGGGTACACTGTTTTACCTGTAGGTATGCCTAGTTAGAAAACTTTCTTTGTTGCCTGCAATACCTATTATGATTTTGTCATTAGAGCTATGAGTCAAGTAGGTAATGGTTACCAGTGAGAAAGTTATGGGATGGAAGAAGAATGAGGTAAGGGAACAAACTGACAATTATTGTAACCATTATTAGAAACTTAAAGAAATAAACTTGATTATAAAACTATTCATCCAAACCATTGGAATTGTATAAATAAAAATGGCTCAGGCTATATGGGGCCACTTTTTTATATCAGCTTATCAGAGTTCCATCATTGCACTAATTTCACACATCCATCCCAGGTCATTGGACCCAGTGGGAATTAGGAGCTAGTCTTCCAACATTTGGGAACTTTATGTCACGTGTATTGCTCATATTCACTCCACAACTCCTCCCACGTCTGCCCCCTATTTACTTACCTGCCCAGCTTTGTGTTCTTTTTCTACCAATTCCAATTGCTCTGCCTCACTATCTCTGAATGTGTGGCCTTTCACTGGAGCATGAGTTACTTACCAGGGGCTACATGCTGAAGAAGACTTATGCCCCTTACCCCAGCAACTAAAAATTGACAACAGTTCCTCATATAGAGATGATATTTCATGCATAACTTTATACTTCGTGATGGGTTACACTCTTCTTGATGTGTTGCACAGGTCTTTTGTGTGCTTTCAAAATTGCTATGAGTTCATATTTGCAACTTCCATTCTGTTTCCAGAAGATGCTGTTTTCCTTTTCTAGTTTTTTTACTTAGTACTTTTATAAAAATATTTTTCAATAATATGAATGGTGAATTTAAGTTGTTAGTTTGGCAAGGTGATGGGATGCATTTTTAACATAACAAAATAAAATATAATAAGTTAAAACAAAAACCATAAAATCAAAGTTGGACAGGAAAAACAAACAGGAAAAAGAGCTCCAAGTGAAGCCAAAATAATCAGAAACCCATTCATTCACACATTCAGGCATCCCATAAAAATGTTAAACTAAAATATATGCAGAGGATCTTGTGCAGACCCATGGAGCCCCTGGGCTTGCTGCTTCCATCTTTGTGAGTTCATAAGAGCTTTGCTCAGTTGATTTAGAGGGCCTTGTTCTCTTGGGGTCCTTCATGCCCTCTGATTCTTACTGTCTTTCTGTTTCCTCTTCTGTAGGGTTGCTTGAGCTCTGAGGGAAGAGTTTCTTGGGGACAACTCATTTAGGGTTGTGTGTTCCAAGGTCACTCATTCTATTTGTGAAAAATGTCTGGCTGTGAGCTTATGTATTTATTCCAATCTGCTGCAGAAGGAAGCTTCTCTGATGATGGTTCAGCAAGATACTGATCTATGAGGATAGCAGAATACTATTAGAAGTCATTTATTGTTTTATTAGGTCAGTAATATTTGGTTTTACCTTAGCTCTTATGGCTATCTAGTCTCTGAAGGTGGGGCTATATAAAGTTCATTGGTAGAACCCTTGCCAGAATACAAGAACCTGAATTCAATTCATGACCCAAATGAATTTCTGAAACTAGCCACTGGTAATGATGTCTGGTGAACCAAGTGGGGTTAATCAAAAGGCCTTGGTGAAGATTTCATAAGAAACAATTACCAATCCTCTGGGTACTTGTTAAACCAAAACATCACCAGAACTTTTAGACTGCAAATCTATTTAAGTATTTAGCATCAAGAATTAAAACAAAAGGTCGTTGTGTTGATGACTGGAGCAGCATGTAAATCAATAAGACGAAGATCTGTTTAAGAGGAACTATGTTCGGTATGGACAGGTTTCTAGGGAGATGGGGGTAAAGAGGAACTGGGGTAGAGGAATGAGACGAATTCTCTCTCCATGTTGTTCATAGACTCTCAGGAAGCAGAAAACATGCTCAAAAGTATAAGGAAAAGAGTCTAAACCATTTGGTTTTATTCTCTTATACGTGTCAAAGTGGAATATACTAAGGTTTTCCCATTTGAGTAACTAGGCTTTATGCACAGCATTGTTATCTGAAAAGAATATAATCTACTAATGTTGGTATGTGTGGGTACATGTGTGTGTGTGTGTGTGTGTTTGTAAGTTTGTGTATATTCACACCACCAATCACACAAAATCAAGACAAAAGCAAGTAATCACTAGTAATATCAAAGTTCCTAACTGAAATAGTTTATTTTTTATGTAAATGCTGGCAATACGATCAAAGTTAAATAAATAAAAAGTCTAAATTATATAATTATATAGAAAAATGATAATTTCAATGTTACCTTATAGAGTCTACTGAACACTGTACTGGCTGTGCTTAGAGGGGAAGAAAAAATTACTGCAATCAATCAACAGAGGAATCCACAGCCAACCACAACCTGGTAAGTGAAACCTAAATCTTTTTCCCAAAATTTAAGATTAACTTAATTTAGCCAGTTTATTCTGAAGTAGACTTTACAGTTATATGCTTGACTTGAAGTTTTATATTTTGCTATGAAATTAATTTAGACACACTAGCATGGAAATACTATTGGTAATTTTACTTAATTAGGTGATGCTGAGAAAGACTGGAATCATTTCTAAAATGCAATGTTAAATGTCTATGTCTCACTAAATGCATTGATTCTAGATGATTGTTTGTAATGACTTGAAGATTTTCCCTCTTCATGATATATGTACTATCATTATGAAGTTAAAATTTGTGAACTAAATTTATTGAGAATGATTAACTATATTGTCCTAATCTATAGATATCATGCACAGTGTAGAGACACTCTGAATTAAGTCAAATTGAAAACAAATAGGGCTTCTTCTCATTTCTTCTTCCCCTCACTCTAAAGGGTCTGAAAAATTAAGCGATTAGCACTCTTTTCAGAATTTTATTTTTTGAAGCTGGGATAGACTGAGGAAATTTTTGGTTTGATTTTGGGTAGGTCTTAATGAAAAAGATAAAGAAGTATAAAATATCTCAGCTCATTATTATCACCTCTAATTCATACTTGAAAATTTCATTGAAAAGAATATATTATACTATCCTCACCATTTCTCCAACAAGGCAAGGAAAACTGCAAATTCATCCTATTTTGGATGAATTTACTGTAAAGGGTGGTGTCTTAACTAATACTGACATTTGTGTCTTATCAACAAGAAATTAAGGGTAGTCTCATTATCTACTTTTAATATGTGATTAGGGAGGAGAAATGTACCTAAATCTGTGAATAATCGTATAATTGATCAAAGTCCAACTACAAGAAAAATTTATTCATAAAATACTGTGGTGTTTAGGAGATATTTTGTGGAACTTACATGTAAACATACAGATATGGAGACAAGAAACATTGAAACAATGAAAATAATTGCCATGGGGAACCAGGCACAAAAATCTGGTTTCTGGAATTCAGTATGCTCAATGAGCTAAACGAATGCGGTGCTTTGGCATCCAGAGAGAAGACAGCTCCATCCAGAGTCACATCTCTAACTCTAGGAGCAGATGCATTTATATGACAGAAAAGAATTGGAAATGAAAGAGTATGAGAGCTTTAAGTGCAGCAACACTCATCCTTTCAGTGTGTATTTCACAGTTGTTCATTAAATACTTCATTTTTTATAAAAAAAATCTTTGCAACTAGACAAACGAAGCTTCAAAATAATTGATATTGATGATATCTGCCTTCCAAAACCACAATGAAATTATACACTTAAGGAACTGGTAGGAAGAAAATTTGAAAGTCACCCTTGTCATCAATTATAATGACAGTTTTCTTGTAGTATTTATATAACGTCCTATCACTACCCCACAAAAGTTAATTAGGAAAAATAGAATCTACTTCTGTTCTTTAAAAGTGCAAAGGATGTGATACCATCGGCAGAGATGAGAAGTGAAGCTATAGCCACCTCAGGGACCAGAAGTAATGAGATGATTGATTCTTTTCAGTGTTTCCTTTTAAATATCATCACTGAGACACACTGTGATTTTTTTTCAGATGACCAGATGCTCAGAGCCTGAACTAAACTGATGAAAAGGATGAGCAATGTCACAGAATTCATTCTCCTGGGCTTGACTCAAGACCCAGATCTGAAGAAACTCTTATTTATTGTGTGCTTAGTAATCTATGTGATCACACTGGCAGGTAACACGCTCATCTCAGTCACCATCTTCATCAGCCCGGCCCTGGCTACTCCCATGTACTTTTTTCTGTCCTACTTGTCCATCATAGATGGTTTCTACTCTTCTTCCATAGCACCCAAAATGATCTACGACCTGATCTCTGAGAGGAGCAGCATATCCTTCAATGGCTGCATGACCCAGCTTTTTGCTGAGCATTTTTTTGCAGGAGCTGAAATCATCTTGCTGATTGCCATGGCCTATGATCGTTATGTAGCCATCTGCAAGCCATTGCACTATATGACCATCATGAACCGTTCTGTGTGTGTTTCCTTGGTGGTAGCAGCTGGAATTGTGGGATTTGTTCATGGAATGATACAGACTACTTTTATAGCCCCGTTACCCTTCTGTGGCCCCAATATCATTAATCATTTTATATGTGATTTAATACCCATTCTGGAGTTGGCCTGCATTGACACTCACACTCTAGGGCCCCTTATTGCTGCCAACAGTGGGTCAATGTGCTTAATCATTTTCTGTTTACTTATTGTTTCTTATATAGTTATCCTTCACTCCCTGAGGAAACACAGTTCAGAAGGACGTCACAAAGCCCTGTCTACCTGTGCTTCTCATGTCTCTGTTGTTTTCTTATTCTTTGTACCTTGCTCATACTTGTATGTAAGACCAATGACCTCCTTTCCTATTGACAAAATTGTGAGTGTGTTTTACACCCTAGTGACACCTCTGTTGAACCCTTTAATCTATACCCTCAGAAATGAAGATGTCAAGAAAGTTATTAAGAAACTCCTGGGTCAAATAAAGACACATTATGGTTAAAGAAGTCTAGTAATTTTCTATATTTATATAGTAATATCTAGAAATATTTCATATAAATTTATTTGCCCTAAGTGACTTTAATTGATAATGTCTATTATACTCTGCATCAGAATTTACAAATGGATGATTTCTGTACTAAAGAAATAGGAACAGTGTAATAATACATGTAGATAATGTGTATGAAAACCCCAGAATGATAAGGATTTCAATGACATCAAAAATTTATCATCTCTTTGTGTTTAGAATCTTTAAATTCTGTTCCACTTAATATAATTTAACTATAATTATGTAATATAATATATAACATAAAATAAATTATTATGTGTTATTGTCACCCTAGTCTGCTTATAACGTACTTCTATCAAACCATATTTAGGAATATGTTACCCCAGATCCTATTGTTCTTTCTCTTTCTCAGTTTCAGTTTGTAGTGACTTTACTCTGTTCTCAATTTCAGTGAGGTAAAACAAATGACAACAAATGCTGGTGAGAAATCAGATAGGGTTTTTAAAAAATCTAAAAATAGAACAATACAACCCAACTATAACACTTTTGGGCATTTACAGAAATATCTGTACTTTTGTGTTAGTTGCTTCTCTATTCACACTAGCTAAGAAACAGGATTAACCAAGATGATTATTCATAGATGAGTGGATAATAAATAATGTGGCAATACACAGACTGGAATTTTATTCCACACTAAAGAAACATGAAAATAAGTAATATTTATATAAATAGTTGATTCTAAAATATTATACTGAATGAGATAACCCAGGTCCAGATTGAACAAATAATACATGTTCTCTTACACATGAAATCCTAGCTTGAATGTTTGCTTTTCTGTATTAAGTTAAAATCTTTTAGATAGATCTCTGAAAGCAAGAAAAGAAACAAAAAAAGGTGTGGAGATACGAGGGGATATGGGGAGCAGAAGCAGAACACACATACTGTGAATGTAAATGTATAGATACTAGAGATTGAAATATTTAAATGGGGCAGGGATGGAGGAAAGTGGGTGTGATGGAGAAGGTTGAACAAAAACTAAGAATGTAGGAAAAACCATATGGAAGTCTATGACTTTATAAACTAACTAAAAGGCTACGAATAGCCTAACTGAGTCAAAGTCACTATTGCTTGTTTTTTGCTTAATTTTATTTGTATTTTTTAATTGCTTATTTTATTTTTTGAAAATATAACACAATTACATCATTGTTCCCTCTCTCCCCTCCCTCTGATCCTACCTGTATATCCCTTCTTGCTCTCTTTCAAATTTACGACCTCTTTTTTCTTAATAATTGTTTTTACAAACATATATGTAGATGCATATATATTCCTAAATACATACATGCGAACTATATAATAAGGAATTGGTAGAAAGATTATAAGAGCCAAAGTATCAGGAAGTTTGCTCTGAGATTGTCTCTATGGATTTTCTCATCATGATCTTGACCCTCTTGATCATATAATAATCTCTCCTGCCTCTGTTCCACTGGGCTTTCAGAGCTCAGCCTGGTGCTTGGCTGTGTTTCTCTGCATTTGCTTCTGTCAGTTGATGGATGGAGGCTCTATCATGACAGAATATTTACCAATATGATTACAAGACTTATTTTGGGGTGCCAATTAAGACACCCTCTCCTCTACTGCTAGGAGTCTTCGCTGGCGTCATTTTAGTGGGTTTCTGGGAATTTCCCTAGCACCAGGTTTCTCCCTAACCTCATAATGGATCCCTCTATCAAGATATCTCTTTTATTGTTCTCCTACTCTATCCAGTCCCCACCTCAGCCATCCCTGTTCCATCATGTTCTCATCTCTATATCCTCTCCTCTACCACCGCTAGGAAGTAGCCTTGAATGCACTGGTAAGAAGACCACTTCTTAAACATAACACCTGTAGCATAGACATTGAGACCAACAATCAATAAATGAGACCTCCTGAAACTGAAAATATTCTATAAAGCAAAGGGCATGGTCAATAAGACAAAATAGCAGCCTACTGAATTGGAAAAGATCTCCACCAACCTCACATCAGACAGAGGACTTATCTCCAAAATATATAAAGAACT